AACACAGTACATTCACACATAATAAACTGTTCATATTGAAAATGTACATTTTTTTTGTACCAGGGATTGAACCCAGGGATGCTTTACCACTGAGCCACATACCCAGCCCTTTTTTTTTTGTATTTTATTTAAAGACAGGATCTCACTGAGTTGCTTAGCACCTCATGGTTGCTGAGGCTTGCTTTGAGCTCTCAGCGTTTCACTGAGTTATTTAGTGCCTCATGGTTGCTGAGGCTTGCTTTGAACTCTCAATCCTCCTGCCTCAGTCTCTAAAAACTGCTGGAATTATAGGTGTGTGCCACCATGCCCAAAGAAAATGTACAACTTAATACACTTGTACTCTTGCATATGGCCATGAAAAGACCATCATCATCTAAACAGTGATATGGACCTCAGCTCCCAAAGATTTCTTGTCCCTGGATAACCTCTTTCCAGTCTTTCCATGCACAAATCCTCCCTCTGTAGAAAACCACTAGTCTTGAACTTAAGTAGTCTGAACTTGTATTAAATATGACTTCTTTCTCTCATCATACACATTGTGGTATTTGTAATTTTGGTGTTTGCATCAATGGAACATTCTTTTCTGTTGCTTAATACTATTAAGTCATACTTAAAGACCAGCATATTGTCATCCATTCATCTGCTTTAGGATATTTGTCTTCTTTCTACTTTGGGATATTACAAATAGAACTGTTTTATACATCTATGTACAAATCTGGGTAACTTAAACACTTTTAAAATTAATTATGACTSTTTTATGGCTCAGAATATTCTCTAACTTGGCAAATGTATGTATTTTCACTTCAGAAAAAAAGAGAAATTTAATAAATTTGATCAAAGTATTTTATAAATATCAATTATATAAAAGTGGTTCAACTCCAATGAATTTTTATCAACTTTAATCAATTATTGACAGTGTGGATTTTGATGTTTTTATTATAATTTTCTCTCTGTTCCTCCTCCTAGTAGTTTTATTCCCATATTTCAGCTCTATGATTAGGGGCATACATGGTCCGTAATAACAATTAGGAAAATTGTTACATCATCCTGATTGAGTGCTRTTTCTGGGTGAGATGACCTGATGATCTTCTGTTGCCTTTAGTAATATTCCTTTGTAATATTCTGAAATTTACTTTTCGTGTTATTAAAAGAGCTACAGATGTTACCATCKGGTTTGTGTTAGCATTATGTGTAGTTCTACCCTTTAATTAATAATTTTTTTTTATAAAAGAGACTGTTCTTTCACTATTTTGTGTTGTTAGTAGGTACCTTCAAAATAAATTGACCAAAAGTGTCCAAATTATTATTTTTTTTTCGGGGGTGGAGGGGAGGGAGTAACCAGAGATTAACCCCCTGGGGCACTTAACCACTAAGCCACATCCTCAGCCATTTTTATATTTTATTTAGAGACAGGGTCTCACTGAGTTGGTTAGAGCCTCTCTATGTTGCTGATGCTGGCTTTGAACTTGTGATTCTTCTGCCTCAGCCTCCTGAGCAGGTGGGAATTACAAGCATGTGCCACACCATCCAGTTTGGAATTTCTTTTGTGTTGATTATTCTGTCCCATAGAGCAGTGGGTCTCTTTTTATGTCAGTATCATGCTCTTTGTGATTAATATATATTTATAGGAGGTTTTGAAATTTACTTTTTAATTTTCTTTTTCTTTCAGTGTTCTAGTCTGGCTTTGCTAGAAGGATAATGTTTCCCTCTAAAAATGAGTTTGAAAATACTCCATCTTGACAATTCTTTTGAGAAAATAAAGTTTATGAAATACCAATATTTTTTCTATTTAAAGAATTCAACAGAGTGTGGATAACAGGTCCAGGGTTTTCTATGATGGAAGACATTTCACTACTGATTCAATYTCCTTAATTGCTATTGATCTGGTCAGATTTTCTATTTCTTCATGATTTAGTTTTTGTATGTGGTTTCTAGTAATTATCCATTTTTCTAGGTTATTCATTTTTTGTTAAATAGTTATGCATAGTAGGTTTTCATTATTCTTTATATTTCTGTGCTATAATTTCTGCTTTTATTTATTTATGAATCTCACTTTTTCTTAGTGTAGTTCAAGGTTTCTCTRTTCTGTTTTCCTTTTCAAAAAATCAACTTTTAATTTGTTGACCTTTTTATTGTTTCCAGGCTTGTACTTTATTTCCTCTTTGATCTTTAATAATTTTCTTTTTGCCATCTTTGAACTTAATTGTTCTTGCTTTAGTTCCTTTTACATGTCACATTAGGCTGTCAGACCCATCTTCTTTTTTTTGATGTTGGTCTTCATAGCTATAAACTTTCTTCTTATAACTGCAATTGCTGCCTCCCATTATTTTTTGTACAATGTATGTCCATTTTGATATTTTTAAATTATTTTCCAAGGCTGGGATTGTGGCTCAGCAGTAGAGCACTTGCCTAGCATGGGCGGGACCCGGGTTCGATCCTCAGCACTACATAAAAATAAAGGCATTGTGTTGTGTCCATCTACACCTTAAATAAATAAATAAATAAATAAATAATTTTTTCCAATCACACCCCCCCCCCGCCTTTTTTTGGTATTCCTTGACCCATTATTTGTTTAGGATAATGTTAGTTATTCCATACATTTTTAAGTTATCTAAAATTCCTTAACTTATTGATTTCTAGTTTTATACCACTATGGTCAGAATAAATACCTGATATAATTTATATCTTAAATTTTATAGGACTTGGTTTGTGGCCAAACACATGATCTATCATGAAGAATGTGATTTATACACTTGAGGAGAACATGCATTCTTCTGCTTTTGGAGGGAATATTCTGTGTATATTTGTTAGGTCCATTTGTTCTAGTGTAGCTTAATTCTGAAGTTTCCTATTGATTTTTTGTCTGTATGATGTATCTATTGTTGAAACTATAGTACTGAAGGCCCCAGTTATGTTTATCTTGCATTCTATCTCTCAATTCAAAATTTTTCTTCAATTCTGAGGGTGTATCAATTGTTACACTGTCATGCTGAATTGACCTTTTCATCATTATATAATGACTTTCTAGTTACTTTGTACAGTTTTTGAATCAGTTTGTTTTTCTTGATAGAAGTATATCCACAGTACTCACTTTGTTTTCCTTTTGCACAGGTTCTACAGTTATAATCTACTTTAAGTGGAAAAATATTTTACTTTAATTTTCTTTAAAAATTACAATTTTATTCCACCTCTTCCCACCTTTTATATTTTTGATGTTGTAATTTAAATAATTTATATCTTATTAATTATTTTTTAACAATTTAGGGGGTTAAATTAATTTCAACCTCTCTGTAAAATTTCTTTTGGGTAATTATTATTTTTATAATTGTTTTTTTAAATTAGTTATACTTATATTGAAGCTTCCTGAGTTCCCTTAAAGCAGTTATTGTGCATTATGGGCCTAGTAGATCATAGGTCTTCATTTCCTTGGAGTCAGATACTGGATAAATTACTGAATTCTTTTGTGAAGGCATGATTCTTGGTTTTTAATGTACTGTTGTTGTAAGTACACTCCTTGCATTTACCAGAGCACTTAACTTTCCCAGATCTCACATGCTGCTTTCCATGGGAAAGATGCTTTTCTATGTGGGGGTGAAAGGGCACGTTGGGTAGGGTGAAACTGCTGTGACGACCATGGGTGCACAGTGGTATTGATTCTACTTTTCTCTCTCAGCTGAAGTTGATGTTGCAGAAGATTGCAAGGTTGCATTGGTTGACACCATGGAACTCTGTGGTGGGGTGATCAGGGTCTTTAATGGTGATGGCTACTAACATCTTTCCAGACTCTTTGTCTGCTATTAAGGGTGTTATGACACAGAGAAACCCTCAAGGCACAGAGTCTAGATTCAAGGCCTACTTATAGTGATATAAGTATCAGATGGGTGGTGTTCTTGGGAAGCCTTGGAAGGGAGGCCAAAGCACAAGCTAGTGTGCACTACCGTAGATCTGCATTCTCAGGAGGTTATAACAGTGATACCTGGGACCAAGGACTCCCATTGCCCATTGGTAATGGTATGTGAGGCACAGGTGCTTTTGAAACAAGAGTCAGAGAGACTAGATATGGTGGTTCAGGATTCAAGTCATGGATTCTCTTTCTATATTGGCTGAGCTGATGTCTGGGCCATGGAACACAAACAAAAAATATATTTCTTTCAAGTTGGATGCAGTGGCACACACCATAATTTCAGTGGCTCAGGAGGCTGAGGCAGAAGGATCTAGAGTTCAAAGCCAGCCTCAGCAATTTAGTGAGGCTCTAAGCAACTCAATAAGACTCTGTTTCTAAATAAAATATTAAGAAGGGCTAAGGATGTAACTCAGTGTTTAAGTGCCTCTGAGTTCTTTCCCTTATACATATATATTGGAAGCAATATATAATATCGTTTCCAAAATCCACAGTATTTCTCTAAAGTGTATAACCTTCTATTTGGAGTCAGGGAATAATTCTATAAAATTGAAATATCGAGGTCATGAAGATGGTAGTAAGATTTCATTTTATTAACATAAAGATGAGTATATAAAAATCTCATTTTGGTGGCAAAAGGAAAAATGAGTGACTTTGATCAGGAAGGTAGATGGTGCAACTCAGTTTCTGGCTTTGTAAAGGTACCACATGTAATTTGTGACTCAGACACTAATATCATAGAGAAGACAGAAAACTATCTTTATGTACAGAAAATTATAACAGACATTCTGGAGATTGACTTAATTGGCCTTTCATAGCAAGGCTTATGAGTACCTTGTTAAAATACATATCGATCAAACTGCTTTGACAGACAAGGAAATTTTTGACAATTGTTATAACTCACTGAACATCATTTTAAGGATCAATAAAAATTTATTAATTTTACATTGGTTAAACATTCAAAATATTATCAGATATTTATCTTCTACAATCTTGCTATTTTATTTGTTTATCTCTATATTAGTTGGATAAGTTTATTTTAAAAGAAAGTTTTAGAGGTCTGAACAATACTCTATTTCTCTTTAATCATGCTTATAACCTAATAATCTTCATTAGAATGCACAAGAGCTCTCCAGAGTTTCCTCATGGCTGTCTTCATTTCTTTGTTTCGTAGAGTGTAGATGAGTGGATTCAAGATAGGGGTGATAATGGTATAGAATACAGCAAGGAACTTATCCACAGAGTGGTTGTTGAAGGGCCAGACATAGATAAAGATGCACGGACCAAAGAAGATAATCACCACCGTGATGTGAGCTGTCAGAGTGGAGCGGGCTTTAGACTGCCCAATAGAAGAGCTTCTTCTAATGGTTGTGAGGATCAAAGAGTAAGAAATAAGCAAAATGAGGAAACAACTCATGGAGATCATGCCACTGTTGGCAACAATGACTACTTGTACAAAATAGGTGTCTGTGCATGCAAGTTTGCTAACCAGAGGGAGATCACAGAAAATGCTATCCACCACATTAGGACCACAGAAAGGTAAGTTTATGGCAAAGGGTAACTGAAGTCCTACATGAAGGAGACCTGAGCACCATGACATGACTACAAGCAAAATACACAGTTTCTTGTTCATGATGGTCATGTAGTGTAGGGGCTTACAAATGGCCACATATCTGTCAAAGGCCATGGAAACCAATAGTACAGTTTCAGTTGCACCTAGTAAGTGGAGAAGAAATATCTGAGTGAAGCAACCAAGAAAAGACATAGTCTTCCTGTGTTTTATCAAATTCACAATCATTTTAGGGGTGGCAAAGGAAGCAAGAGACATATCTACATAGGAGAGATTCCCAAGGAGGAAGTACATGGGGGTGTTCAGGTTTGGAGTTAAAAATACAGTAAGTATAATGAGAAGGTTCCCTAAAACTGTTACCAAATAGATAATTGAGAAGAGGGCAAAGAGAAGAAACTCTATATCCTTAAAGCTGGTCAGTCCCACCAAAATAAATTCTGATACTTGAGACTGACTTAGTAGTTGCATCGTTTTGATCTCATTGCTTGTTCACAGATGACCTGTAGAGAGAAAAAGAGATCACTTATACCACAAAGGTTGCTGTGTTCTTTCAACAATATTAGGAAAAGTGAACCTTCATCCACTGTTGGTGGGAATGTAAGCTAGTACAGCCAGTATGATAAACAATATGGAGGTTTTTCAAAAATTTATTAACAACTATACCACGATCCAGCTGTTCCAGGACTGGGTGAATATCCAAAGGAAATGAAATCAAAAAGTCAAAGAGACATCTGTACTCTCATATTCACATCCCTATTCACAGTGTTTAAGATTGGAAAAAAAATCTAAGTGTCTATAGACTGATGAATGGACAAAGAAAAGGCAGTACATATATGCAATTAATTACCACCATTCAGCTAAAAAAATTCTGTCATTTTCAAAAATATGGATAGAAGTGAAGAACACTAAGTAAAATAAGCCAAGCACAGATGAACAAGCATGATCCCACTTATTTGTAGAATATAAAAAAACAATTTTATAGAATTTGTGAGTAGAATTGTAGTTACCACTGTTTGTGGAGAGGAGGAGGATGAGGGACAGATTGGTAGAGGTTGATCACTAGTTTAGAATGAAGGACAGATTGGTAGAGGTTGATCACTAATTTAGAGTGAGATAGGAGTAAGAATATTTGATGTGCTATCACATAAGAGGGTGACACTACAGGATAACATAATGTATATTTCAAAAAAATTATAAGAAAGATTTTTTAAATGTATTCATTATAAAGAAATGATAAATGCTCAAGTGCTAGACAGAGTTATCCTTGTTTAAACATTTAACTATGTATGCATGATTCAAAACATTACATGATACTCTGAAATGTGTACATTTTATATTATTAAATAAAAATAAAATTAATTTAAATGGAAAGAAAAAGTATAAAGGTTTTTAAAATCTTATACTACTCTCTGAAATCAATTATATTTTATTTACAAACCTATAAGTTACTGATAATGAGGCATGATGTTTCATAAATTAAAGATAATACTTAAGTATAGTTTGGATCTGAGTGAGCAGTAGAAATAGCTCTTTCTGCTATCACGTGGTGTGGTCCTTTAGACTTGACCATCAATCCATACTCTATTTTTCAGAAAATAACTTCATTGATTGAAAACTTGAGAAATGAATTCAATGTGAGGAATGAATGAGGAAACTGAGACATTGGGTGAGACACAGAGTTTAAGAAGTTTTAGAGCATAAAGAAAGATGACATGGTGGACAGAGCACAAACAGAATTAAGAGTGATCTTAGGGGACTGGGATTGTAGCTCAGTGGTAGAGCACTTGCCTAGTATGTGTGAGGCACTGTGTTCGATTCTCAGCACTGCATAAAAATAAATAAATAAAGGTATTGTGTCCATCTACAACTAAAAATATTTTTTAAAAATAGTGACCTTAGGGTGATGCACTTTTAAATACATTAACACATTTGTATAAAATAAGTGAAAGGAGAAAATATAGTTTAAAGCATCAAAATCTTTGAAACAGGGGGTGAAAAATATGGTGAAATGAGATGGATATCATTACCTTAGTACTTTTATTAAGATATGAATGGTGTGCATATACTTTATATACAAGCAGAGATGAAAAAATGAGCTCTATTTGTGTAAAAAGTCTTTGAAACAAATTAAAATTGAAAAATTGGATATGTGAATATGTAAAATAAAAAAAGTACAATGAAACTCAACCTAAACCTCTTGATGTGTATAAAATTTACCTAAAATGTGGATCATAAACCTAAATGTAATATGGAAATCTACATTTTCTAAGGAACATAAAAGAGACAAAATATGCATGGATTTGAATTAGGCAAATAGTTAGACAAAACTTCAAAAGCATGATCTATGAAAAATTTTAAAATTACACATTATATACAGATTAGGACAGCATTCTTCTTTTTCTAGCATGCCACCCCTGTATAATGGAATACATTTCAATCCACCTTAAACCTTAAACTACTAAGACTTTGATAAATTTATAAAAAGAATGTGTCACTTGTGGTATAGCCATTGAATTAACAGTAACTCATAAAAACATATGCAGAGCTATGTGCTGCAAATTTTTATCTTAGGATTTAATGCTCACCTGTACAGTGCTTCCTTGCACTTATGAACATATACAGTATGCCAAATGGGCTTAAGGATTTAGATTCAGGGATGTAATTTCTTTGTATATAGAGAAAAATAATCTACCAGTTTTGAAAAATGTTCATGAGATGTTCCTTTTTCTATTCAAATTCACATGATCTGTAACTGACTTCAGTGATATTGCTATTTAAGGGTTACTTACAGAAAGAATAAAGGAATCAGAGGAATTCCGTGATTGGCTTGTCACTGAAGGCTGAGTTGTGTGGAGGACTTAGTGTTAGACAATGAAGGGGAAGACATGCTCAGGTTTTCTGTAACACCACAATATACTCATCAGTATTTTCCATAGTAGGCACTTCTAAGTACCTATGTTACATCACGAAATTAACAATAAGGAATGTGACTCAGAGGTGGGTGGAATATTTTGATCAAAATAGTGTGTATAAAGTCCTTAACCCATAATTGAGCTCCTAGATGGCACATGTTAGCTGTTGCCACTCTTCTTAGTGTTTACTTGCTGAAGTTCATTAAAATAAAGTGCAAGGATTCAAACTCTGGACTTCATGACATCAAAGGTAGCATCCATAACTTAGGAGTTGAGACTTACCTTTAGCCTAGTCTTGCATTTCATTGCAAGATTTTAAAAACTAATTTTTTAATAATAAGATCATTAGAATTAATAAATTCCTAGTAAAAAATAAAATACTGAATAATTGAATAAATAACACTGTTATTGCATTCATACTGAGTAGGGTTTTTCTTTTTTAAATCATGTTGCCATTTAAGTTTGAATTGTCTGCTATTCTGAGGCAAAGTTTTGCAATGAATTAGTTAAAATATCAGAGGAATTATTGGTGGGGTCACAGAAGTAAAGCTGAATTCTAGTGATCTTCTAACTTCTGTGCTTCCTCAGGCTCTAAGAGGTATGTAGGATAGATCTGCACTTCTTGTTTAGTGCATACTTGTGTTTTCTAAGCTCTTCATTCTTTTCAACTTCTCAGCAAAAGTTCTAAGGTCAGCGATCAGCAACACTAGTTGGAGAAATCTCTCTCCCTGTGACTGGTTAGGAGCTAATCAACAATAATAACAAAATAAAATTCTGAATAGAACTCTGCCTAGGACATAGCAATGCTCAGAATCTCAAATTAGCAAGTGTCCTTGAGAGTTGACTATTTTAGGAACTTATTTAGTAGCAGCCCAGCTCTTCCCATAAAGCCTCTAGAAAAAAAGATTTCAGGAAATTCGAGTCCCTCATAAGAAGAAATGCACACATACCAATCAATGAGCTATCCTTTGCTTTTCTAACTCATGCTACTCATCCTCAATGTCTAAATGGATAACATTCTCAGTGGCACTTTTCCTAACATAGTCAGAGTTGAAGATTCTCTCTTCTATATCCCTGGAGCACTGCTCTTATAACCTGTGTTGTAATTTTGTATATATAAAAGATATATATATATATATATATTTTTTTTTCATTATTCTTTCCTTCCAAGATTGTTAATTTTTTGTTATTATTGGTATATTAGCACATAGCACAGTGCCCCACATATAATGGAGTCTCCTCATTTTTTCCCCAATATTAATAAATTCAATGATTTATTAAAACTCTCCTGTATTTCAAACTAGAAACTTCATGTAAATCATCTTTCTTACTTTTTGTAACTCTGTGTTTAGTTTTCTTTTGGAAAAAAAATTTAAAATCTCTGGAACTTTTTCTGAAACCTGAAACTCTGCCTTTATATGTGTATTCGCAACATGTTTAGTGAACAGCAGTTATTTGTGAGTTCTAACAACCAAATGCATTGGCTTTAATATTCTAACAATGCCTTCTTACCAGTTCAGATGTAGTAAGCACAATGAATCCTGGTGGGGAAATAGCTCCATGGGCAGGAACCTTCTGAATTCACAGTTCCATAAGAAAATACATCTTTAAAGCATGTAAACTCCAACCTGTGGACCTCCTAATAAAGTCTCTCTTCTGAGTTATGTAGTGGTCATTAAGAGCCAGAAAACTCTGGGAACTCTAATTGGTGATTCTAAAGGGAATTCATTTTTTTGAAGGAATAAAACTTCAGGGCTGCCAAGTATTGCTTGGTCTTTAGCATTAATGATAGTTAGTATATGGCAGATAAACCTAGCCCTACCCAGGAGATTTAGAGGGATTTAGAGTTGATGTCTTACTTTCATCTTTGGTCAATCCAAACCATTTTGGGGACCATTTATTTTTTATTCCCTACTGTGAAATAATGAGATGCAGCTTATGTGGGCTCTTAATATTCCACTACAAAAGCAATGATTGTGGTGGGTCATAGTGAGGAGAATGCAATATATGGACAGTCCTGTGGAAGGGTAGAAAGAGTAGAAACAGAGAATGGAAAGGCTTGCGTGGATTTGAAGTTTAATTATGACTTTGCAACTGCAAGCTATGACACTTCTATGATGCTTCAAATATTCATTAGCTCCATTCACATCTTTTCTAATTATTCATTTATCTCTTAAAGCTACATTTGACCATTTATTGTATTTTAGTCATAGGTTAATCATAAAGGATACAAATATAAAAACATGTTCCTAGGCTTTCAGAAGCTGATAGTCTAGTGAATAAAAAGAAATAGCAAGTTCATAGAGAGCCTCCCATATACTAGGTATGCTGTTATTTTTTCCTTACACAGAATGAATATTAATGTTCTTATTAACATATTTATCTTACTGATATTGCTGGACTATTTTTTGTTTTTTTCAAACCGGGAATTGAACTCAAGGCACTCAACCACTGAACCACATCCCCAGCCCTTTTTTATATTTTATTTAGAGACAAGATCTCCCTTAGTTGCTTAGTGCCTCGCCATGCCTGAGGCTGGCTTTGAACACGTGATCCTCCTGCCTCAACCTTCAGAGCTGCTGGGATTATAGGCAT